GCAAATTTTGATGACGTGATCATGACGTCATCTCGAGTTATGAGCCACGCCCCCTTTTTAGAAAAATCAATTTTTCTGGCCAGCGCTTTGGTTTTTATTCACCATATTTTGTGGAAAGGCACACACTAGTAATAGGAACAAACGTATGCGAGCATTTTTTAATATCTCAAAGTGTTGATTTTTTATGAATTTTTTTTCGTAAATGTCAACAGTGCCATGCGCCAGCACCCCTCCCCAACATATAAAGCGGCGCAGTGTGTCGGCCTCGCATACGATTTTAGTTCATAAGCTTATCTTTCAAAAAATACCAGCTTTTTGTATTGTATTTGCCAACATAAGAAATTCATCCGAAGTCCCTATGTGGCTTGTATTGTATACGGAAGTGCTTTAACTATAAGACATCTCATATTCACCAAAGGATGTATTCTAACAACAAGAAATTGGAGATTTTTAGTGATTTGAGTTCTCGGAACTGTAAAGGGAATTGTATGATGTAATCTATAACCGGCTATTATCCACATACTTCCTGAATTCCCCCATGTACCGCCCACTTACTTCCACCCGGAGCGTGCCGGTTCACCTCCGGGCTTATCCTCCCTGTCAATCAAGTACCCAAATCTCCACCCACTCATTCTGTAACATCTGCTGGACTAGCAACCCAAAAACCCACCCCAAACAAAGCATGCCTCGTACCAATGACGTAGTTTGAGGACCTTAAAAAGGAATCAATATGTTCCGCGGGGTAAGCAGCTAAGTTCAAGCCCACTCCACTATATATTGATTCGCAAGATTCAATGTGTTCAATGTGCCTCAACTTCTTGGACGCTAAAGTTTTCAATGAAGTAGTGCTGTTGTAGTCTTCGGCCCATCTTCGAGGCCCCTCTCACACTGGCCTTTTCATCAGAAAAGTCGATACAAACTTTGATTTCTTCTGAGAGTTCAGGAGGCAATAACTCCTCCTCGAGCTGACAGTTGTATTTCCCTGAGATCTCGATCAATACGAAGACATCAAGGGTCACCTCGGCAACTATCAGTGTATCGAAGCGCGCCCGAGGTCGCTACCTACGTCACGCACCAAACCACGCGAGACCCACGCACGTAACAATGGGTTGATAAGGCCACACCAGTTTATTTTGTTGGTTCTCGGATTCGCCTCTTCATTTTTTTTCTGATTTGCAAAAAAAAAAACGATTCTCGTGAAGGAAAACGTTTATATTCGCACGCTCGCATCAGTTTTGGGGTTCCCAGAGGATGCCATCCATATAATCAAATTAACATGGCCTATCTGCAATGGAGTCCAAATTACTAGCTAGCGAACTAATCTTATCTCCAAGGCTACAGAATGCTGAGAAATTACACCGGGGCCGCTGGGAGAGTAACCAGCGAGAAGAAAGTCAGCCATAGACCGTCTGGGTGAAAAGATGAAATCTGTAAGATGAATACAGGTGATGATACTGGCTGAGATTGGCTCAAGGTATAGCTAGCCTGGGTGCTGTACTGTTGACATTGCCATAGAACCAGAAAAGTAACATTTGCAAAGCAAATGCATAATGTTTACCTTCGCATCTGTTCTGTTAACTCAAACACATTCATATATATGGTGACAGGAGATTAAATCCCTCCTAAAATAAAATTGCAACATGATGTAACCCAACACCAGTTACCATGGTGAGAGACAGTCTGGTTCAGTCAGGTCAGAGGTCACTGTTTGGAGAAGAAGAGGAAGAGGAAACGTAGCAAAAACAATATGTTTCCCTTGGTAAACATAAATATAGAATACCCGAGTAAATTTTGGATCAATCTTCAATCAATACTAATATTCCGCTGCAGTACCAGAAAAGCCCGCTAGAGGGTCCAACGTCTAGTGCTTTTTCTAGTGAACAAACTTGCTAAACATTTATTTTGATTAATGCTGTTTAACAAGAAGCAAACGCCGTTAAAAGCTAAAGTGCTACCGAAAACATATTATTAAACCGCCCTGGAGAAGGTACTACTAGTAAAACACCCCAGTGCTGACGTCTTCTTACGTCTATCGTCCCGTGTCTTGCCCATGTGCACGCAAATTGGCCAATAATGAGATGAATTCAAGCGAAATGTCACCGCTATCGCCGTATCTGGGGTTCCAATCAAATGACAGACCTACGCTGGCGGCGTAATTTTGCTGACGCACAGATATACTTGAAAGGTTAGGTTGTACATAATTGTTTGGCTCGTGTTCTCTGCTCAAAAGAACTATAAGTTGTCTCAAAAATCAGGCTAACAAAAATCAGACATTCCGTACAAAATGCAGACCTCAGCTGTGAACAACCGACGGCTTAATTTTGCTGACGTACAGATATACTTTAAAGCTTAGATTGTGCATAATTGTTTGGCTCGTGTTCTCTGCGTAACAAAAATATCGGTTGTATCAAAAATCAGACTGACAAAAATCAGACATGCCGTACAATGAATCTACAACGAGAATGAAATATTTTAGAAATTGTAAAAGAATCAATGACTAGTATAGCTAGTATGTGTCTGACTGTTCTAGTACGTATAGAAATGTAAAAATACGAGTAAATTTTTACCATGGACACCCTGTTTCCTTTGGCTTCGTGAGGGTAATTGAGGGTCAAACGGGCGCGATGGTTCCAGGAAATTCTCCACGTTATGGCCGCCAGTTCAATTTCACGGTTGGAAGACCGGGAATTGGCTCTGTACATCTTACTCCTGGGTTCCGGGTTCGAACCCCGTTGCCACGAAGAATATATCATATATCACATCATATCATAATGTTAAGACAAGAGCCAGTAAATTGCTTATGTGATCCAGTCCAGAGTCTGTAATGAGAGTCTGTTATGTCTACCGAAGAAAAAATTATTGATTTTGCTACTTCTTCTCCAAACCAAAAAGGTCAATGACCTGAACCAGACTGTCTGTTACCATGGTAACTAGTGGCCCCTGTAGTTATGATTGTGAAGTCCCTACGTGACAGTTTCTTTCCCTGTAGTTATGAATGTGCAGTCCCTACGTGACAGTTTTGCACCCCGTATATATCTGAAGTATACAGTCCCTACGTGACCGTGTGCGTTTTGGCCCCTGTAGTTGTGTGAAGTGTACCGTCCCTACGTGACCGTGTGTGTTGACAATATCCACCCCTGTATTTATGAAGTGTACAGTCCCTACTTGACAGTATCTATCCCCGTAGTTCTGAAGTGTACGGTCCCTACGTGATCGTTTGTGTTGACAATATCTACCCCTGTGGTTGTGAAGTGTACAGTCCCTACTTGACAGTATCTACCCCCGTAGTTCTGAAGTGTACCGTCCCTACGTGACCGTGTGTGTTGCCAGTTTTGACCCCTGTAGTTGTGAAGTGTACGGTCCCTACTTGACAGTATCTATCCCCGTAGTTGTGAAGTGTACAGTCCCTACGTGACAGTTTGGGTCCCCGTAGTTCTTAAGTGTACGGTCCCTACTTGACATTATCTACCCCCGTAGTTGTGAAGTGTACAGTCCCTACGTGACCGTGTGTGTTGGCGGCAGCTGCCGCGTGCCTGGGTCGTTAGGCCCACCGCGAGCCGTGAACAAATACACCTGACGTGCGCTGCACACCTAATGTGACGTTACCCGGCAAAACCAACCACTGCTTTAGGCACAGAACGTGCCTGTCGCCCGTTATATGATAATTCGTCTTCGCGAAATAGCACTTTTGCTTGCCGTCAGCATTTTCTCTCAACGCGATTCAATTTATCTTGGCGTGTGTGTTAGGTTTTAGCGTCACTCCCAACGCACAGTACAAGGAAGAAATTACAATGACCAAGGATTGAACCTTCTTACAATAACTTTGGAATATTCAACCTCACGGCCGTCGCTGCTATAAGTTTTTAAGCTGTTAATCACAGAAATGAAATATTATATTATTGAATAACCCATCCATTGTCCAGATATATAGTTCAAACATCAATATTAATTCATCGGAAGAAATAACAATGACCAAGGATTGAACCTCCCTGCAATAACTTTAGAATATTCAACCTCACGACCGTCGCTGCTATACGTTTTCCAAGCTATATCAATCACAGATATGAAGTATTGTATTATTGAACAACCCATCCATTGTCCAGATATATAGTTCAAACATCAATATTAATTCATCGGAAGAAATAACAATGACCAAGGATTGAACCTCCTTGCTATAACTTTAGAATCTTAATATTCAACCTCACGGCCGTCGCTGCTATAAGTTTTCCAAGCTATAGTAATCACAGAAATGAAGTATTGTATTATTGAATAACCCATTCATTGTCCAGATATATAGTTCAAACACCAATATTAATTCATCGGAGGAAATAACAATGACCAAGGATTGAACCTCCTTGCAATAACTTTAGAATGTTCAACCTCACGGCCGTCGCTGCTACGAGTTTTCCAAGCTACATCAATCACAGATATGAAGTATTATATTATTGAATAACCCATCCATTGTCCAGATATATAGTTCAAACACCAATATTAATTCATCATTTGAGCTACCGTAAATTTGCTGTATTTTTCTGCAAACATAACACGATTTATGACCTAGCTGGGTTAATTTTCTACCCTGTAAATCATATATCATTATTAATCAAAATCGCCACTAACAGTGTGTAATTCAGATCTAGAGGTGACCTATTATATTGTGTGTGCCTCGTACCATCCAATATATGTCTATGGTAAAAAAAATGCAATTCTGTGTTGACTGGATTCTGAAATGTCTTCCTTATATTTACCTCACAGCAGTCTTAAAAGTGGCAGCAAATTACCATCCAATGACCTTGTTGTGTAGCGATGTTTGAGTACCTTGATTTACATTCAATGACAAAATCTCTCCTCTTGTGCTATTCGTTCCAATCTTTCTGGCGACAGAATTGCGGTGTTTGTGTACTTGTTTTCAACATATTTTTCTCTGGGGTACAATCATTGTGTGAAGTAATTGAAAACGTTGATTAAGTGTAGGTTAATGTGTTCTACGTTAGATTTTAACAGCATGTTTACGGAGTGTCTCTCTTCTTGTTTTACTGATTGTAGGGGGCGGAACGTTTGCAGAGTAAATATGGAGGGTTCAGTGGCGGGCACAGTGCGGGGCCTCTTCCACCAACTCAGCCTGGAGGGCTCTCCGTTCGTCATCCCGATCCCTTTCCTCAAGAAGTCCGAGAAAGACGCCTCAGAAGCAAGCATGGACACAGACGTACCCTCAGACGACGTCTTCAAGAAAGAGAACACCCGTAGACTTTCCACAGGAAGCGTTGATTCCGTGAAGTCAGGGACGTCGCTAGCGTCTAGTCAGACAAGCAGTGAGTGTTCTGTGGACGAGAATTCAGACTTGGACAGTGATACAGAGACAGAAGAGACCCCCAGCGGGTGTTCGGCTGTCATGGCCCGACGCCGGCGGTCTTCCCTCAGCATAGAGTCCAGCGAAGACGGCATGTCCGATTACGAGGAGGATAACATCCTCTCCGTGTACTCCGTACCGAGCACGACCAGAACATCCGTCCCGGGCACCCCTCTATCAGAGACCGACGAACCCTTCGTAAAAAGAGGCGCCACAGAAGTGGTGAAGGAGTACCATGCAGGCGGAGAGAAGAACGGACTCAGTATGCACCTAACGGGGACTCACACGGGGAGTAACTCCACATCCAGAAACAGCTCCTTTGTCTCCATGCGGACTTTATATTCCATGGACGACATTGGGGAGCCTAAAGACAAGAATCGCGGCGGGAACAAAGTGATGCAGTTTAACAGACTGTCGTTAGACGGCGCTGTCGGTAGAATAGTGCCCTGCAGTGAAGAGCCTGCCAGTAAACCAGTCGAATGTCCAGAACCGGAGGAGGACATCAACGGAAACCGGCCGTACCCGCCCGCCCTGCCGGACCAGGGTTCGTCAAACAGGACAAAGCCGAACTTGAAGTTGAACTTGAAAGGACTTTGCGGGAACGCACCGATAGGAAGTAAAAACTTAATGGACGGGAAGTTTCTAAAATCACCCCCGGCCTGCTTAGGTAAGAATTACCGTAACTGTTTTTTTTTTGTATTGCTGAATGTTACATTCGACGTTAACGTTAACTTTGATATTATGGTATTATGTTTATACTGTGAGAGTATCTCTTTAATACTATAATACTATTGTTACATCTGTATATTGCTGTAATGCTCTCGAATGTACTAAAAAGTACTTTGATATTTTACTATTTTACAGATGTATCGAGCGAGGACCATGTACCAGGGTCAGCATCAGTTGACCTTCGGGGCAGAATTCCAAGATGGCCGACCAGCTCGACCGTCACATCCGGGTTCTCCGAGCTGCTCCTGACCCCGTCTGACCTGACGGAGATGGACTCAGACGACGAATCAGACGTCAGCGACTGCGAGGACTTCTTCGACATGTCTCACGTCGGCGTGTTCCACAACATCGTGCCGTGTAACGGTCTGGAGGAGTTCGCTCGCAAGTACTTCAACGAAGACTCCCTCTCCTACAAACTATTCGTGGACATGGCTCGGCAGAGTCCAGTGGTCCAGTCCATCGTTGAAGACGAGTTTTTGTGGTACTACATCTGTTTATACTGGAGAAAACACGGCCGTCAGCTTCCCGCAAAGTTCATTCAGTTCATAGAATTCTCGATAGCCGAGTACATGTTTTCTTACGCGCAGACGAACGACATGAGTGACAAAGAGACGTACGGTAAGGCGCTAGAGAGGCTCGCGTTCGTCGGAGGCGTCGGTTTCTACAACCTGATCGGGATGGAGATTATGTCGATCGAGTCACACCAGCTGAAGGGAGTCACAGACAACATTGAAGAATACTCCTTCGGCATCTTTAAGGGAAACGAACGTAGCTCGGAATGCACAGGGGCAAGCCTACACGTCTACGACTACTGTATCTCACTGTGGATCAGTGGCGAACTCAACATCCTGATGGGGAAACTGACAAAAGAAGAGATGGCGAGTTACCACGTCATCCACCACTGTGTGGGAACTCTGGAGTACACGCCGAACATTTGCTCCTTCTCGTGCGGGATTCTCGGTGAGAGCGCCGAGCCGCTGTTAGCAGCCATGGCCCAGCGGGCGGCCAAGACGGGGTCCTTCGCCGACGCCGAGGCCTGCCTCATCGCCATGAGCGAGAGCAACCAAATGGAGAGCCTGGTACATCTAGCTGACGTCATGTTCCCCAACAAGGTCATTGACCTCACGTCCCTCCCCACCCTGTCCTCCATGGGCATGGCGGCGCTCGTACAGCTCATCAACGTCTCCAAGTTTCTCTGGAGACTTGAGATCCTTCCTTCAGATCTCACGATCTCGGATGGAGTCTACGGACTGATGCGAAGACTTGAGGCAGACCCTTTCCTGGAGAAGGTGGCCCTGCGTAGCGCCGTGGACGGAGACATGGACGCGCTCTGCCGACTGCTACATCTCATACCCGTCCTGGCCGCCATGAGATTCAAGGAAGACTTCGGACAGTGCAGTCTCGATGAGTGCGAGATAAAAGTCCGCAAAGTCGACCTGTCGTTTAACTACCTAGACAGTGAGGACATCTTGCGGCTAGCCAAGGTACTGCCTTCGCTGTCGAAGCTGGAGCATCTAAACCTGTCCCGTAACTGCGTCACGGCTGACGGCATGTCGGCTCTGACGCGTTCTCTCGCCTATCTCCGCCACGTCTCCAAGATAGACCTGAGCAGTAACCGTCTGGGTCCTGACGGAGGGAAGGAGCTGGGCGTTCTCCTCAAGGTCTGCCCTGTCGTCCGCCATCTTGACGTGTCAGACAACCAGCTCGGAGACGAGGGGATGTCCGCTATGGCAGAGAACATGCCGCACGTCAAGTCTCTGAGAAGATTCCTGGTCGCCAACAACGGTATGACCTTCTCCGGGATTTCCTACCTGTCCCAGGGGCTGGTCAAGGCAACGGCACGGCTGGAGCTCCTGGACGTCAGCGGAAATGACGTCACGTACGAAGGTGCCCTCGCGCTGGCCGCCATCTTTCCTCACATGAGTCACATGAACGAGGTGAACGTGTCCGACTGTAACCTCGGGGCAGACGGGGCGAGCGCGCTGGCCAAGACCTTCCCGGAGCTGAAGAGTCTGAAGAAGGTGAACATGAGCCGGAACGCGCTCCGTGACCGCGGCGTGGTGGAGGTTCTCCGGCACGTCAGCGAACTCTCCCCGCCCATCCAAGTCAACCTCGAGGCGAACGACATCAAGAGCGACATGATCGACCAGATTGTCAACGAAATCAGCAACCTGCCCCTCCTGGGCTCCCTGGACCTGAGTCACCTCACCCTCCGGCGGTACGAAGCCTTCGCTCTTGCCTACACCCTCCAGCGGATGTCCTCGCTAGAGACTCTGGATCTCAACGACAGCTTCATCGAGGAGGCAAACTTCGCTCCTATTGGAGCTAACCTCAAGCACCTATCCCTCCTCCGCAGCCTGCAGGTCTATAACAACAGGATAGGGTGCGCTGGTGCAATGGGGCTGGCCAGCTCGCTGCCGTTTCTCACACACCTCATGCACCTCAATATCCAGTTCAACTCCATCCCGGAGTCCGCCATGCTTGCCGTGACGGAGAACGTCAAGTACCTGCCATCTCTGGTGTTCCTCGATCTCGGGTGGAACGCGGTCGGCAACAACGGCGCCAAGGCCCTGGCGGCGTCCTTCTCCAGCCTGCCGCACCTCCGCACGCTGCTTCTCCACTCCGCGCAGATCGGGGACGACGGTGCCGCGGAGGTGATCCAGGCGCTGCCGACGCTGTCCAAGCTGGAGGTGCTGGACCTGGCCGTGAATCAGATCAGTGACGGCTCCATCTCGCCCCTGGTGCAGAGTCTGAACGGTCTGCTGCAGCTCCAGAGCGTGGACCTGTCCTTTAACGAGTTCAGTAACGCCGGGATCTGGGAGATGAGCGGGGCGGTACGGGAGGACGTCTGTCTGACGGTCCTGCTGAAGACACCCGGGCAGTAGGGACATCTAGAGCGGACACGTAATCTCCAAGCAGATCGTCCGGTGGCCGCAAAGACAGTATGAAATTGGCCAGGCCGTATCCATTGTCCAGGAATGCTGTCTGGCCAATAGATATTGCCTGGCCAATGTCATACAGTCTTCTCGGCCACCGAAAGTTCTGCTTGGAGATTACGTACACGACCCATACTGCATGAAATCCGAAATCTAAGCATACCTTAAAACATGCGTAAATGTTCTGTTCTTTACGCACGCTTTAAGAAGGCTTAAATATCTGATTGCATGCACTGCTATAGAACTACAGTTTCGGAAGTACATCGTACGGTATCTGAACTGTTATAGTGAAAAATAGACAAGCCAGTACCACAAATGATTATAGCAACCACACAACATGTTGTTTGCCAGGATGCAAATGGCATCCACAAGAAATACAATGTCAAGTTTGAAACTGATTGTTCGCCATTTGGCGGCACTACAAAATTCTGTAACTGCCACAAAACTCTCTAAGAAGAGGCTGAAGGGGGTCGCTGCTTTTTTTTCAGATTTGGTAAAGTCTTGGTAAAGTATTGCATACGTAGCAACCCCCAACCCAACCTATGCTAGGAAAGCATTAGGAGACAATACATCACCATTAACCATAAGTTACTGTATATGTCAGCTGGTAAACCGTTATGAACTATTATTATTATGTGACAAATTCGATCCATGGGCTCACAAATGAAGAACAAAGTCCCAGATTTGACATATCCCAGAATTTCAAGCGCAAATGTAAATAAAGATTATATGTTAGAAGAAAGGATATATCAATCATCCACTAAAGCCATTTTAGTAATATAATAGCAAGGGTTTAGAAAAAGAAATGTAAAAAAAGATATTTAAAAATACTTGATTAATTTGATAGAAAAGAAGAAAGACTTTAGAAGTGCAACCAGTAAGGATTTAACTACGAGTGCAAAGACATAGCTATATAGCACTATTGAATAGGATGACATATCAGAGACTATTCTTTATTTTCTTTAGGATCATAGACTTTTTGAATTTTTTTTTTAACTTCAAATCCATGTATCAATAGTTGTGGTTCTAGTTGCACATGGTATCATCCTTGTAATGTAACAAACCAACATCATGTCTGAATGCTGATGATGTATTTGTATGATTTATGTCAAAGGCAATTGGGCACCCCCCCCCCTAGCATTCCTTAGGAAATGACGTAATGTGAGCAACAACCTCACTTCCGGTCGCGAATCGTGGTCACGTAATCACGTGGTGACGTAATATCAAGGAATATGTATAGTATTTCATTGCCCTTGAGCACATCAGTCAATACCGCATAATTTTTATGAATTTGCATGATTTCAATGTATTTTCTGCAATCAAAATCATCGCATTCATCATCAACGAGATAATTCTTAAATATTAAATTGTAGAACATGAATATATATATGTCTTGTGGAACACAAAGAAATTAGAAGATATTTATGTTGCACTGTTTGTGTAAAGTGATGTAAGATTATTTATTCAGAGTATTTATCCAACTAAGAAATATATGAATATTGTAAAGTGTTTTTGTGGAAATGTGTTGTCCATATATGTACTTCTGCAAACGAAGAATTTGACGAAGTTGTAATTAAATAAGACATTAATGTATAGATATAATATTACCTTAGCTGTAAATGTATTGTCGTTATATTATAACGGTATTTAGAATATTAGTCATTCATTTCTACTCTATGTCCAGAAGCAGACTGATGTCATGTTGTCTTGACCAATGATATCTCTCGATACTGAAATCAATAGTTCATCTAGTATGGATAATGGCATATGATTGGTCTAATTGTAGGATGATCTCGAATGTAAGAAATGTCTTTGGGCCTCAGTAACAAAATCTATGATTCTGTTTTTAGACGACTTGTAACACGGAATACTGACACGTATGTTATGAATATAATGACATCACTACATTATACATGTTTACGTATTGTCGAGAATGCAGTTTTACTGTATACCTAAGTGGCTACACATTTATTGTTAGTAACTATAGCTATTATATAGTATCTTTAGTCAAGTAAGGCAATTAAATTTCTTCTCGGAAATGAAAAAGACTTGTGACTTCATGTAGACTCCCTCTCCAAGTAATGAACTGATTAAAAGAAGTCCAATGTATACATCTGAACAGCCGAATATCTTCTATAAACCTAACGTATAGGTGTAAGACACTAACCGCAAAAATTATATATACGGATTCCGGGCCTAACACGCTAGCCTCTAGCAGGCTTCGGAGCGGCTGGAAAGAGTAGAAATTGCTCGCTCAGGTGCGGCAAACTGTACTCCTTTAGCAGACCAACTCCCCTGGTATGTTATCTGTCTATTTGGCCAATTTTTACTCTTTGCAGCCGCTCCCTGAAGCCTGAATGAGGCTACAATCATGTATCAATTTTGCCATCTCCCGTATCTCTCTAGATCTTCAAGAGAGTCTATTTTCCGAGGCTACATACGTAAGAGGATCGTTTGTACTGTATTGAAAGGCCTGGGTGGAGTCAACATTATAGACAATTATCGGACAAAAGATACCAATCAACCTCAGTTCGATAAACTGATAGCCATAAGATACTAGTATCCCTGGAGAGGTTGCAATTACTCGATGAGGCGCCAGGGCACGCTCATTACGATATAACATACGTCAAACTGGTCAGAACCAGATAGAACAGCATTAGGGTGCTTTTTTTCCGCATGATTGGTTTGAATGATGACACACTTAAGTTGCGAGCTGGTAAGCCCCCGATGGGTTATTTTCAGCGCTGTTACCTGTTCGGTCACTTTCTCATCTAGATAGGAGAACAAGAACCCAGCGCTACAACGATCAGGTAAGATCACCATTCTTTCTTGATTTTTTATCCGGTACTATATCCGCATAGAATAACAGCAAAAGGCTAGGTTTAGAAAAACGACGGAAAGACACTGGGACAAGGAAACAAGAGGTATAAGCCCCAAAGGCATGAGATCTCCCGTTCTTTTGTTATAAGATTCGCGGGCTTAGAAAGTTCTGAGGGTAAATATCTATCTACGCACACACTGATACAGGTAGAGGCATGACGAAAGACAACACCATTGTAGTAGTAGTAGTAGTAGTAGTAGTAGTAGTAGTAGTAGTAGTAGTAGTAGTAAAACTAGTAGTAGTAATAGTAGCAGCAGCAGCAGCAGTAGTAATAGTATTAGGATTGAAATGCTCTAAAAGCTCTGTCCAACAAACTGCAAGGCTTAGAATTCAACGTTGTATTCTCTCTTTGTGAGCATCCTGCTTGAAACGACTAGTTTTACAGATCCAGTGCATGTTTTTGCTTGTGTTGGTGGGCTGTCCATCCCACACACCTACAGGGTGGTTCGTGTTTGCAAGTTGTACACTCACAACTGATTCTTGGAACTGAAAATCTTAACCCAGAAACATTTTACACAGATACAATTGATGAGATCTATCCATAGATAATCGCACCAAGTGCCCGGGGCGTGAACCATTTAAGAATCATAGTGGGCAGTTTTTTCAGCTGCCAGCCTCAATGAATTCCACAGTAAGTGCCATATTCTATAAGACAAAAAAATCCCTTATAAAGAAGGGAGACAATTTGCCTTACAATGTCATACGACAAGTTATTTAGTCTAGCATGAATTGCAAAATACATGGGTGCCAGAGTATACAGTACAATTATACTAGAAACATTACACTGTATACTAGTAAAATTGCACTGTATACTGATACGATTGTACTGTAAAATTGCACACTGTATTGCATAAAATTGCACTGTATACTAGTAAAATTGCACTGTATACTCTGGCACCCCTGAAATACATAGATCAGATCTATACACAGTATGTGCTTGTGTATATCAAAGGCGGCGTTTTATATAGTGTACACTCTAACGCGTGTTTTGGGGCCTGTGCTGTGGCTGTTATTACGTGGTGATTTTTCTTCATAAGTACCTCATATATTCTACAGGTATCCATGGGTCAATATTGTGCTTGTGCCGTTGTCCGAACTCCGTTGGAATGTTGGACAACACTTGACCCATTTGACTTGGCACTATGCCATGAAGTGGGACCTTCGGAAGTTCCAAAACAACCATACGATTCATATCAATTAATCAAGGTCCACCAGTCATACCTGAACAATTTATTGTTTATGTACTTATGTTTTATATTTATTGATTATGTACTGTGTATTTGTTGTGTGTACTTTTTATGTATATCCAGGACTACCTGAAAAGCAGGCCGAAATGGCCTGAGTTGTAATTACTGGTAAAATAAATGAAGTGAATAAAGTGACATCTAGACGGGGGACGTTACGAGCTATCCGGCACATATGGCCAACTGCATGAAATTATGACTAAAAATATTAATAGTCTCTGGTTGCGACCATTTCAATTCGCTGGATTGTTGCCAAATGGTTGGGAACTAGTCGGGAGGGAGTTGGCCGTCTTCGGTTAGAATTGGGGTAGTTGGGAGTAAGGTACGACTGTATTGTAGCTCCGTTGTAATTGAGTCGTGAGTAATAGGGTTATGTCGTATATTAGTCTTGAAATAGCCGTTAAAAGCTACCAACCCACAACCGTTCTTAGTTGTGAGTGAGTCGTGAGTAATCGTATTCTGTCGTGTATTAGTCTTGGGAGAGGTCGGGATAGAGCCGTGGGAAGGTTGTGAATGTGTTTAACGCCTGACAGTGAAAATACCTGGCGTTGTGCCAACTCCTAGGAAACCCCCTTAACACCATGTACAATAACATCACGGGGTGTTTATACTCATGTGTCTCCGCTCCTTTCTTTCTTTTATTGTACTGTGAAACTTGGCATGGACCCAAACACCATGTGACAGTCATTCCCCTCTGATCTAATTGACTTATTTCTTATTGGCACGAACTAGTACGCTACGGTAGAGTAGAACGTGCTACATTGCTGGGTGACACTTGTAGGTCACTGTATCTGAGCTACATGTGTTAACTAGTCTCTACCAGACTAACTACGCTTGCTATATATATGAGAATATTTGCCAGGGGAGTTTGGCCGCCTTGGGGTTTGACTGGCCACGCAGTTCGGAGGGAAAAAAACAACCTTCCCCTGACTGACTCCCCTGGCCAGTTTTACTCTCTTTTTTTGCCGAATTCTACGATCCGTATTCCGAAAGGCCTGGTGGAGGCTAACATGTGTATGGCTGCGTAACACACGTCTTCATTTAATTTAGTACATGTCCAAAATATCGCATGTACCGAATACTGTACCTAAACCTAATATATAATTTTGTCTTGTGCAATTCCTACAACGACCATGAAAGTTTAACACTGGAAAAAGGAGACACCGTAATCTTCAAGCAGATCCTAGGGTGGCAAAAGACAGTGTCAAATTGGCCCTGGGTGGCGTATTGGATCCTCTCTTGCCAATGGATACCAACTGGTCAATTTGCATTTGATACTGTCTTTTATCACCCTAGGATCTGCTTGGAGATTAGAGACATCGTATCATGAGCCATTTTGAGACTGGGCACTTGCAAAACCTTATGTATATCATGAATAACGTATTTTTAAAACTCAGCACTCAAAGAATATCGTAATCTAAAATTTTAGCAGTGTACATGTAACATTGTACACATCTGATAAATGAACGAACTAGAAGGGTATCAAAGAATAACGTATCTTTAAAACTCAGTTTTAAAAGAATATCGTAATGTGAATTATTAGCAATTTACATGTACACATCTGATAAATGATTGTAAAAACTAACGGGGTATTGTAGAGTGTACAATTTTTTTACTACATGTCCACACGGATTCAGATAGGTAACAGCGCATTGAAAAAACGTCAACATCACTTCGCTTCGGCACACGAAATACTGAGGATGTTTGCCCTCAACAAACATACTTCACAACTTTATTTACCCTAAACGTCAGAAAGTGCAATTAAGCGATCCGTACTGTTGACAGATCAGAATATTGTCTGTAATACTGTTAGCAGACCGTGGTCGGAGGAGGTTAGTACCAGGGACACACTGTTTATCTATTTCAGAACAAGTGTTATGATCCCTGGTCTGGAGTAAAGGTTTGGAGCAGGTGTAACCAACTCACATCATTCCAGGTTTGGATACAAATAATTTTTATGGAGTTCTTTCTTTCTTTCTCTTTCTTTCTCTTCCTTTCTTTCTTTCTTTCTTTCTTTCTTTCTTTCTTTCTTTCTTTCTTTCTTTCTTTCTTTCTTTCTTTCTTTCTATCTACCTACCTACCTACCTACCTATCTACCTACCTATCTACCCATCTACCTTTTTAGTCATCTAGTCCTTATTCTAGTAATCTATATACCTATATCTACATGTATCTACATGTATCTATCTATCTATGTATCTATCTATGCCTTTAGTGATAACTATCTATCTACTAGTATGTATGTAAACGTTAAGAGATGATTTTCACCTGTATGCTGTCGTTTGTACACTAAACGTATTCGCCTTTTCTAAAACATTTTGTCAATACCAAAATACATCTACTTCCCTCATAAGAAGTCAATGTTATTGTACATGGACTAATACCATAGAACAGTCTTCCGTTGTTTTGAAGTGTGCAAGGCCTGACTAAGAAATCCCGCCAAATATTCGCCCATATTCGCCTTTTCTAAAACATAATTTGTCAATACGAAAGTACATCTATTGCCCTCATAATAAGCCCCTATTTCGTTGTGCATAGACTAATACCGTAGAACAGTCTTCCGTTGTTTTTATAAAAGCGTGCAAGGCCTGTCTAAGAAATGCCGCCAAAATAAGTCTCCTTGTACACACTTGAACTAGCGGTGACTTCTTAGAGACCCATTCTACTGGTGTCGCCTGTCAGAATCTGTACAACAACAACGGGCGCGTTTCTATAGGATGTTTACCTAGCACGGAACAAGCGCCTGTGAAGGTCAACACTACAGTACAGCACACTACGTGCCTCCTCTCGGTAATACTGTACAACTGGTTAATTATCAACCCATAACCGACCAGTGTTTACGACGTAGCGTAATAAATACTACGTCCAATTTCAAACGGTTTATTTTGACTGCTCTAGCGAGTGTGTTTTGGGGATTATTTAAATGTGTGTATACTGTGGGGATAAGCTGTGTGTATGGAAAGAAAAGGCGGGAATTCTAGTGTATGGAGTGTAAACATGGACCTCCAGTTTGTAGTAAGTCGTTCTTTTACTGTATACTAACTGAGTATTGACTGTATATTTACTGTACTTCGTTGGCGGCATACGTTATGCTAATGCAGTATTTTATCAGCTGGATTGGTGGTAAGAATGGTGTCTAGACTGGACAGAGGACGGCTGTAGGACCCTTGTAGGGGGGTTGTGGACCGTATGAAGTGACCCGTAATCACGTGGCCGGGGCAGGGTCAGCGTTACCCCGCGACAGGCGGGTGGGAGTGTCGGATAGCGGGGCGCGCATTGTTGTGTCTGAATGCCACCTGTTACCCGAGAGTTTTGTTGACGACCTAACGCAGGCCTTGAGCAGTAGTAGAGCGGGAACGTGGCCGTACAACACTCTAGCAAAAACCCTGCGTAAAACTCGGGACTATAAGAACCTTTCGTGGATAAGAACATTTCACCAAACGTGTTGGAGACATTTCACGAATACGGTACGTTTAGTATGTTTTGTTTGGGAGTTCACGTTCCGTTGAATATGTGGCCATTCAAAACATATGCTGTTAGCAGTTCTTGTTTACTGCTATAAGTGTTTTTGTGTGAAAATTGGGTTCTTATAACTATTTACATGGCCAATGTTTCAGTTAATGCTCAGAAATTTTCTACAGGGTTTAAATAGACTCAAGTACCCATTTTAACGTGGTTTATATTTGTGTTATGCTCCAATGTCCCACCAATGTTGTGAAGTTACTCACGGAACTATAGGTGTTTTTCTTTGTTCACGCCAAGACTGAGATTGTGAAACGTATGTTACGTATATAAACGACTACAAGGCGGATGTAGTTTAGACTTACGTATTTTGGATTGTAGTGGAGGTTACATCATGTAACAGTGAATGAGCCGGATCTAAACGCTTGTTGGTTCTACAGAGGTTAGCCTTCTGTTGTAAAACCTGCTTAGGCGAGTCTTTAGTGTACAGCGTCAACAACCGTGTGTGTGTGTAGGGGATTTCTAAATTGGACACGGTGCACGTAAGCCACAGACGTGCTTGTACATGTGTAGAGGCGTCCTTGTACATGTGTAGAGCCGTTCTTGTACATGTGTAGAGACGAGGGTTTTTTCCCGGAATGTGTAAAATCGCGGGTATACAGTATGTATATGTAAGGGATTTCTAAATTGGACACGGTGCACGTAGGCCACAGACGTTCTTGTACATGTGTAGAGCCGTCCCTGTACATGTGTAGAGCCGCCCTTGCACATGTGTAGAGGCGAGGGTTTCTCCGGAATGTGTAGAAATACCGCGTGTGGATTTCTTAACAAATACAGTTTCAAGTAAACACACAATGTGTGCCGAGATATTTGATATCGCCAGTCTCTACTATTCAACAATGTTCGTTCTAGTCCTGGAATGCCCCAAATTGCAAAAAAAGGGAACTTATTTCCAACATTCCGACGAAGTTGATTGTTCCTTCTTTCCGTTTATATTGTTTGAGAATGCACGAGGAAGTTTATAATGCATCATATCCTCGTGCACCGGTCTTCTTTTGTCTACCCCTACATGACTAACACTGCTAAGGCGGGTCTATTTGGGAGGTGTGCATGTTTCCGTTAGCTCTACTAGATTCCTGGCATATTTTAGTCATGACAGGGTCTTGTCAGAGGGGTGTTACGAATACCATTTATAGTATTTTGTAGTAGACACGTTTAATTGTATTGTTGTCAAGTGCATAGAAGTAGCTATACGTTATATCGTTTACAAAAGTTTTGCAATAATGTTATTGTCATTTTATGTATCATTTTACAGAATATTTACATCGATATTATTAAAGTTAAAGAAATGCATGCTATTTCTGCCGCAACAAAATGATACTATAAATTTTACGTATACAATAATAGAATATTGTTTAAAAGCCTCATGTACGCTCTAATGCAGTTCTGCTATGTAAACTGGATTTTACCCAAATATGTAAAACAACATAGTTGTGAACGGATGGATTTCATATCAAAGTCCAAAGTGTGATGTTGTTTTCATATTATTGGTCACGTAAGTGACTATATTATTTTATGACAAAGGTATAAAGGAGACATAGTCAGAGATGATACCCTATTCACCTGTGTGTGTGGGGGGGGGGGGTCCAGTGACTACTATACCAGTAGAATAATACTCGAATTCAACTGTATATCCCCTATAACCTCCTTGATATGTTATAATATGTATATATACAACAACGTATAAGAATGTACCTGGATGTTAGAAATTGATGATTTTCGCTGTTTATTTTCCCAGATGATGCTGCCATAAGAGGCACTTGTCATGTGAATCCTGAATAAACCAAACACAAGGACAACAACAGTAACATCAGGCTCCGCGACAGAGGCGTCGCCAAAAACTTTGTGTCCCTTTCTCGATCTCTCGGTGCATGTGAAGAGAGATGTGCGCGCTTCTAGTGGGCATGGACCACCGATCCTCTCACACCAACCACCACACGGGCAAGAGAAAGCATGACGACAAACACTTAGCTCACATCGCCGACCCCGTACAGACCAGACCGGGGTCTCACGCCACCCCCATGCGGCGTGCCGCGAACAAATCCACCGCCCAGAACTCAACCTCCACCCCTAAGACTGCCGCGAGGTCGCACCGCAATGCGGTAACTCCGCAGGAGAAACAGAACAGTCGGTGGAGGGAGGCGGTGAAGAGCGCTAACTTTGAGGCGTTGAAAGGACTGGTGGAGGAGGACAGTTTCAATGTGGACTTAGTGGACGAGCATCACCATGGACAAACTCCGATCATGCGGGTGAGCAAGGCTACTAAACGGACTTATAATAATAATATAAAAACTCCATATTACATGGTGTAACAAATCTCCATGTACAAGTACAGGGGTTTAGGTCTGGACCTGTATACCTAAACAAGTTTACCAAATTACATGTTATACTTGTAGCCAAGTGTCATTTCTATTAATGGCTTTCCCATTTCTCAATGAGGATTATTTCTAGTCTCCATAATATCAAAAAGTTTTGCTAATTTTCCATCGATAAATTGTCCGAAATTTTCATCTTTGGTGGAATTTCAATTCCTAACTTGGGTCTAAAATATGGCAAAGGAGGTTTAAAATCCTTGGTTTTACTTTGTTCGTGTGAGGATAAATTATGGTCTGATTAAATCATCAATGAATAATGACTAAATGGTGAATAAACTAAATAGTAACTGTACTTTGTTTCCCCTACAGTTGTGCCATTGTGACGTGACAGGGAAACAGCGGAGGGAACTCTGTAACAGTCTGCTCAGCCGCGGGGTGGACCTCAATACCCAGGATACCATGGGCAGGACGCTCCTGGCGCTGGCGTGCATCAAGGAGCGGGAGGAGGTCGTCTGGCTATTGGCGGATGAACCTGACCTTGACCCAGGTGAGAGGTCACACAGCCAAATATGGCCTCCTTCGAGTGTTGTTCGGCCATTGGTTGGCTGGAGTTCGGGCGTAGTTTAGCAGTGTTTGAGGCAGTGTTCTGCAGGTCAAATGTGACTCAAATTTAACTTAAATCCCATTCAATTCGTATAGGAAGGTAGGCGAAGCCTACATCTGGTCAGACTGGCTCAGTGGAAGAGGTAGGCAGTTTGTGGCGTCCTTCGTCTCGTCCTGTTATATCAGCAGACACACAGACACGCCAAAAACAAGTCAGTCTTGTCAAAAGTTTACCCCTAACTCAAGAAACATGGACATATCCACCTGCCAACAATATCTGTGTACATGTATAATACTAGGTCAGGTATTGGTAGATTATGTTTAGATGCGGTGTCCAAAATGATAGCATCCAAACACCCAATCAGAGACCCTATTCTACAGTCGGTCCAAACAAGGATGTAGATTTTTAACCTCCTTGATCCAAACACATGCGAGTGCAAGGACATTATCGTGAGGGTCTTTTCCCGTGTGAACTTGAGGGATAATGAACTTGAATGTTTACTGTGAATGTACAGGAAGGTTGCGTGATTCCAGAACTTTGCAGGAGGTAGAAGTACCAGACACCACAAACAGATCTAGAGTCCAACTGTACACTACTTTGGCACGCACCGAAACGCTGTTTTGGAAGCATCACTCCCTTACGTACTTGAACTACGTACAGGCTCATGACTCGGCTAAAAAGACTCTCCTTCCATTGTTGTATACAGAGTTTTGTCAACAATGTTTCCCAAGTCATTGTTGTTACAACGACGATTTGTTTTTCCAAAGTCAAAGATCTCTAGACTTTCTCTAGATCAACAATGAATGAATTTTTATTTACGTGTCTTGCAACTTTTGTCGCCCAGCCCATATAATAATTTATAAGACACCAGAACATAAACATGAACGTAAACATAGGTACAGAAATCATAGAAACAAAAATCCAAGTCCGAATCAACGATTCTACCACTGAAGTTCAACTGAAAATATTCCGTTACGTATCAAAAGAAGACTAGTGGATCATTCAATGGTTGCTTAAAAACTTAAAATGTTTCCGTATTTCTTCGATCTCCTTGAATGAGTTGAAAAGGGAGCGTTAAATTCTTCAAACATTCCTGGTTTTCATTCCTCTGTGTTTTTAGTCTACGGTTACGTGACACCATTTTGAGACATACATGAATGTTTCGCTAGCAGTTTCCTTCTACTGAGCTGAAAGAGCAAAACAATTTTCACAAGCGCTAGTGCCGGCTTTCGTTCCTCTGTGCTTGAACATTTTACCATAAGTGCCATTGAAGGTTTGACAGCCATGTAAAATGAATATAGCAGGCGTGAAAGACGTTTGTGTTGTGTCCCATTAAGTGAGTCGGGTCAACAGTAACCCTAGAACCGCGTGTTTACATTCTCTGTACAATTGGGTAAAACATCCGGGGCACTTTTTGTGGGGACACCCCAGGACAACTTTACGTGTTTGTAAAGGCGTCGTGCGATAACTTTACGACAATTTTTTTTTGACATCCAGAAATGTGTTGTTTTAATGTGGATGTGTAGGCCACACCAATTTAATTTGTTGGTTCTCGGATTCGCCTCTACACTTTTTCCTGAGTTGCAAAAAAAAAAGATTCTGGTACTGAATCAACTATAAATGCTCATATTTTGCCCCAAACAGTTGAGTTTTCTTCCTACTTGTTACAGTTTTTCCATTTATCAATGCAGTGGTTTGATTTCAAGTTCAAAATTCATTGTTTAAATATTAACCCAGCCTTTTGTGTTGACTTCATGGCTCCTATCGTAGCATTGGGGGCTGTAATAAGATGCCCAGACCTGTATATATTGTTTTGGAACGTTTTGGCTGATTTGTTTGCTATCTGTTGCAGGTATTCCTGACAATGAGGAGAATACAGTACTGATACACGCCGCTAGGACGGGAAATGTCGCCCTGGTGTCCAAGCTCATAGCCCTCTTCAAAAAGTTCCGTTTGGACGTGGATCAAGCTAACACTCAAGGTAAGAATATTGTCGTAGAATTGTCATTTTCAACAGTCAAAACTATTATTGGAGACAGCAATGTAATAATTTATATATGTTTAAAAATGCAATTTTTGTATCTATATACATATATATTCTACAATCAAACGTTACTTTTACAAAGAATGAAATATTTTGTCACCCTGTAGGAATGACACCGTTGATTCAGGCGGCGAAGCTGGGCTACATGGATTGTTGCCGGGTGCTTGTATGTGAGGGGAAGGCCAACGTCAGCCTACGGGACCACATAGAGTACCAGACCGCGCAACAGTACGCCAGTGAAAGCGCTCGAGCGCGAACCCCGGACCTCCTTTTCCTCTCACCCGTCGTCAGACGCAAGGAGGATGCGAAGCGAAGCCGTGTCGCCAGGGGGCGCAAGATCCTGTCGGAACTCGCGTTGCACGACCACAGCCACGAGCAGGCGCCGAAGGTGACGAAGTCTGCCGAAGCGGACGTCGGGGGTCTGTCGGGAAGCTTCGAGATCTGCCACCGGGACGTTCCTTTGCGGAGACGGCCGGAGTTGGTGGATCTACAGAGCAGTGTCGTGTGGCAGATGAGCCGGAAGATCATGCCGAGATTAAAAGAGATAGAAGAAGGCACCACAGTGTCAGACGAGGAAGACGAAGAGTTCACGGGTGACTTGAGCGTGCGGAGACGATCCCTCTCCATGTCGTCCTTCTACGAATTCAAGAAGGTCCAAGGCAAGTTTTTAACCCCGGGCTCCGCATCAAGTAGCGGGGGGACCTCTCCGTCAAGTAGCCCGCCGCAAATCAGTACCCCTGAACTCAAACGGGCCGCGCAGAAAGCAACTAACAATGCACGGGTTCGATTCCCACCTGTTAACTCACACAGAACAACCCCGTCTTCCCCCAGACCTAGTCCGACCCCGAGTCGATCGGGGCGTACTCTGGGAGTTAGGTCTCATGCTGAGGACATTCCGACAAGAGCTTCTCCAAAACCTTCCAAAAAACTCTCCCCGAACTCTAGACAACAGTCGGACAAAAGGCTGAGTGCCATTCCATCGTATCTTTTCAACTAGTCGCACAAGGATGTAGATGTAATTATAAAATTAGCATAGTTTAGCAGGCTCGTATTTCAATGCATATTATCAATGGATATAAGGAGTGTGTTTTACACAACCAAGAAATGGGAAGGAGGGGGCATACCTGTGCAAACCCAGTCACGTTTGGGTCGCATTTTATTACTGCAGCGCCACCAAGCGGCTGGTAGCAGAATTGCATCCATTATTACCCCGATGACTTGAAAAAAAGTTGTGTAAGAAAGCTATAATACGAAAGGATAGTTCTGGCTTACAACTTTCAAGTCATTGCTTGATGTTTGTTGTTGCAAGTTCACTGCCTTTCAGGGAACTATATCTGATTTTAGATACCCCAAACAAAATTAAAACATGTCAAGCCGACAATGAGAGCTATTTCTGGTTTAAGTCTTATATTATGATGAAAGGATTCAGAGATGCCATGTTTTGAAATAAACGGAATAGTTGATGTATAAATGAGTGTAAATAGTATAATAGTAATATTATAAAATATTTGTGACGTACATACCTTGTGATGGCATCCCCGGTATGCTAGTTAAGATTATTTAGAACTAGCATATCTAACTACAAATGCATAGAAAATGTTATACTGTGCCAAGTTAGGAGGTAGCTTTAGTAGAAGTTGTTCAAAAGAGAAATACATGTACTTATACATGTAAATGTTGTTGGAAAGCTTACATATCAAATGTACTCAAGTTGTAAAAGAAATTACTTTTTTTGTATGGAACAAAGTGTTGCAATCAATTCAACAATGCAACTAGTTCAGATTAAGTAGTTGAAATATTGTTAATTTATTTTTAAGTTATGAATCATGTGTGGCCTGATATGATATTCCCATTCATTTTATACCATATAGATAATACCAGCCATAAATATTGTGCAAGCACTTTTCTTTCGTGCCTGTATATCAAAATAAAAAGAATCATCGGTTACCAATAGAATCACTGAATAGGTACTAGTATTCACCCGATCATGCAAGTTGCCATAGACACCTCACCTGTAATAATCATATCAAGTTTTTAAATAAAGTAAGAAATTGAATCTTATTTGTTGTTGTCTTATCTCTTATTGTATATTTTTCATAAGAAAATACACAATTCAGCAGCCTTTGTTTTCCTTATAACATGATTATGGGCAAATGGAAACACTTTTCAAAAAGTTGAACTGTAGAGGCAGAGAATTATGCTAAGGCAAGTTCCATGGATCCAAAGGGCAAAGGTTCCATCCCCGCTTGGCATGATTAGTTGAGGTTGTACATGTATTAGTCATTTTGGATGGTGACATAACGCTGGAAGCACTGTACATGCGGGAGCGTCAGGTTTTTCATGTAAAAGAACCCAGCACACTTATGAAGAAGAGTAAGGGTGACCCGGTGTGGTTGACTGAAAATGCAGACCTAGCAAACCTTCATTACACTACTCTTAGCTACAGGTAGTTGCATCATGTTTCACCTTAGTTGAGAACGAATGCTGTACCTTTTTATGGTTGTACTTGTGATACTAGTACTTTAATATACTGTACATCTAAAAGTAAAAAAAAAAGCAAGGAAATAAGCTCCTGATTGCTTTCCTAATACCACATGTAGGTATAAAATTGACCTATTCAAATCAAGGACCAACAAAAATCTTATATCGTATTTGATTCTATTTAATTCTATTTCAATACCACAGTAGCCACACTAACTATCTGGTTTAACGTCCGTTGTTCCTCGTCCTCCGAGGGTTAGACATGCTTGCACACAGTGATGCTGAGGCTTGATGGCGGCCTGCCTCTTGCCTCTATGCTGTTGAAAAATGCTGTTTAAGTTGAAGTGGTGAAAATCTTCCCTTACTCTCCCTCAGTATGTTAACTACTTAGTGACCTCCACCAGAAAGATATTCTAGATGCAAGCGGAATCAAAATAGACCTTTGAGGTCTATTTTGATTCATAAGTCCTTAATATACATGTCATTGAGCTTCATTTAAGTAACAAATAATGGGAACCTCTAGTGGCTTCAAGCTTTGTGGTAACCTAGTTTTTGTTTTTAAAATCCAGGAGTCTTGTGCTTTACCAAAAGCATTCTTTAGTTTTATAGCTGGTGTGCTACACCAAAGGGCAGTTATACCGGCTAAACTGATACAGATATCTACAGCATTGAGAGCACAGACCAGTTTAAGCTTAACTTTTAGACAACAGAGGAATGTGGCTGTTTCACAATCCTGTGTTCCTCAAGGCAGCATACAGGGCCCACTCATTCAACCTTCTCATACACCTCATACTTATACTCAATGCCGTTTTCTTCTTGCATCTCAGAGGGGATTCCAGGGTCACTAAACAGGATAGCAAAAATACATGTTAGTAGTGTACACTTCAGTAGTATACAGTATTCATTCCAACAGATAAACATAGCAACACTATGGGCAGGTGATGTATTTTAATGATGCATCGAGTAATTAAGGAATCACAGACACACACACACATGCAGAAGTAGTCACATGCAAACTCAAACACTCACACAAACACACATACAGACACACGCACACAACATATACACATAAACAGAAATACAGACTAGACAGTAATACAAACACAATCCAACTTATCAACCTGCTAATTCTTAATTCAGTCTAACCTTTTTAATGACTGAATATGCCCTTTCTAAAGTACATTAAATCCCTGCCCCCCCAATTAAAGTGAAACAATCCAAAGTCACATCACTAAATACCACTGACCTGACAAGTTTAAAGCTATTGTCCATACTTGGGAAGTAGGTATCACATGTGAAGTCCTTATACACCCTGGTAAGGTAGACTCTGTGACAGCTGGGGTGGCTCAAGGCATCCTGCAAGGTGAAACACAACAATACATGTTAAAGGTAGGTATTGTAGAATTGGACAGATCAAACCATTGAACAAAATCACTGATATTCTTACATCATGAGTTGAATCTACCTTATTAAACTGCACAGCAATAACCACAACATATGGTTGCAACTTTTGTAGGTTACCCAAAAATAAGTAACTTTTTTACGGCTTGCTTTTGCGTTGTTTACAAATGGCAGAAATGTGAAAAATGATGTGACTATGTTAAAAATTAGTTACAAATGTCAATTCATGAGGCAGGATATATCCATTCTCAAAGCTTTATTGCTGTACTACAAACATCAAACATCATTGTTTCAACATCACACTTTAAAAATTGCAAAACCTACTTTCACCTCAAAAATATACAAGTGTACTGTAAGCAATTGTCTCCATGACTGTACATTAATTTGAACAAGAAATGTGCTATTGTATATGTTTTAACGAGAGAGTGAGAAGAACATGGAGATGTTGACCTTGTACACTGAGTTGCCTCCAATGATGAAGACTTTGTCTACAGAGTCTGCCACTGGAGATTCAGTCAACATCTTCACGGCTTCCTCCAGGCTGCCTGCCAGGTGATGAGCGCCCTCTGGTGGTGTTCTGCAGTATTACAGCCACACAGTTATAGTCAGACAGAGGGGAAAGGTAAGACAAGGGCAGTAAAGTACAACTGTACTAGTGATCACATAGACCAGCAAGCAAGTTAAACCACTTTTTCGTGATCTCTTAGATGTATTTTCCCTATGGACACAAGCTTTAAGAATCGTGTCTGTGGTGACCACCTGTTAATATATTGGTAGAATTTTTTGTCAAGACTCAAGTCTGTGGTAAATATAGACAGGTATGACTGTACCGGCAAAGCTTGGAAAAAACATTTAAGACAAACATGTAGATATTTACATACAAGTATGATACAACTATCACATGTAACGTTACCTAAGGCCCACTATTACATCTACATTCAGTGTTCGAAATACTAGTACCCAGTATATAGCGCACTAACGCCGCACTACATGAAACACTACCTGGCTCAAAAAAGTATTTCGAACACTGTACATGTAGTATACAGGCTATCATGGTTTATAAATGCTTACGTGAGATTGCGACTCAAAACAACGTTAAGTCTCTTGGGGAGTGGTCTGAAGCGATCAGGTATGGAGAACCAAGTCTTCCTCCCCATCACTACTGCATTCTGCTTCCCTGGAAAAATAGCACAAAACACACACAACAACAATCAGTCAGAGATAGAGTGACATACCTTATCATACAGGTTCTATAATTAATAGTATAAAAGCATTCACATGCCATTTGGTGTACAATGTATTTCAAGTTTTAAGTTTATCTATTTAATATCAAGAGTACATCTCAGATCTACAGATCTGTTTTTCATACTTACAGTTGTGGAAACAAAAACACAATTATATACAAATAAATTTAGCAGTGCCCAAGTCTTCAACAGCTATTTGGGCCACACAGATGTTGAATCACTACAGCAGGGGGCTATCTTATTGGTATTGGTGTTTGTTCAACTACCATACTATTTCCCGTAAGTGTCTTTCTATGGGAAGCACACTTTACAGCATGTACATTGGTATGACCCTGGGCCTACCAAATGCAAAGTGATCAGTCTATCTACGAAACTAAATTGTCAGTTTCAAACGTTTGAATTTTTCTAACTGATTGTTTACCTTCTTCCTCTGTCCCAGATGTCAGTCTGCTGAAGAACTTCAGGTCACCCCTGCCATGGAAACATAAATGTCAAAATATTGGTCAAAAGAATTCAATTTCACTCTATGAGATAAGCCTATAGGTACATCAATATACTAAATTAGTAAGTTACTTATAATATTTCTATCCACTTGTAAGTTGTTGAAGACCTTGCGAAAAGCACTGTACTTTTGTTGTGTCAATTAAGATTCTTTGGAATGATATTGTAGAATGTGGTGAATCCAACAGATTCCTGAGAGTAACATCTGTGTCCATAATATCACCAGGTCCATAATATCGCCACCTTGAGAAACAGTGTGCTTAAAGATATTTTTACTGCAACATACCCTAGGTATGTAAATTGTGAGGTGTGCAGGAGTGCATACCAAAAGCATGTTGCAGTAAAAATATCTTCTAAAGCACACTATTTCTCAAGGTGGCGATATTATGGACCCTGGTGATATATTTATGGACACGGATGTTATATGCAGTGGGTAGGCTGACGTACTGTTATCTAATAATATATATAATATTCTTCTAAAACGTAATTGTTACGACAAAATATTTCCATGTGCAAAACATTGCGAGGCTTCGATGTACTTAAGTCTAAAAGGGGGTCAGTACCAGAAATCAGCTTAAGGTTTGACTTTAACTAGGTTAAATTATCAAGAGTCTACTGACAAGTTGGGGAGGGGGGCGCCAGTGTTTACCTCAGAGTCCAGGGGATTTTGCCGTCCACACCGATGCCCATGTTGTTACAGGCCGCCACCACGAGACTTAACTTCTTGGTCTTCATTCTGGTGGTGAATTCTGCAGACTAGGGAGACAGGAATGCTACCTTTATAGGCTTTTCTGGGGCTGTTGACAGCGAAATCGTCCAATTTGAAACTGGCGGGAAACGTCAGGTCATATTTTGACCTTTCCCATCATTCCCTTGGTAAATATTGAGGTTTTGGAAGGGTTTACAAAATTTATATAATCTCCTTTATTTCATGCTCCGTGCCGTTTGCTTATAAAAAAAAAAGTGCTGTAACATACTCTAATATTGCTATAATATTTTTGATCGGGTTCGCAAAATAACCTTATGTGTTATTTTAAACCCCAGGGAAGTATCTGGTATACTGTTATACTCCTTTCATAGCCACCAGTACGATCAATGGCTACAAAAGGGTTTACAGAGTTCATATATGTAACTTTATGTTATGGTCTATATCTTCCTCCTACAGACAAGTAACTTCATAAAAGATCCACGTTTATTTTTCCTACGATTTTAAAGTGTTTTATGATGAATTTAGTGGCTTGAGCTTGACACAAAGGAACGTATTCTGTAAATCATCATATCCCATAGTTAGCCTTTCAAAGATGGAGTCCAGAATGAGTCGTTCCAAGCCTAGTATTCTCGACAAGCCGCTCAGTAAAGGCAAGGGCGAGCTGAACCTGAGCTCCTTCGCCTTCCTGTTCTCGGAGATGGTACAGTACTGTCAGAACCGGGTGCACACGGTCCCCGAACTGCAGCAGAAACTGTCCGACCTGGGACAACACGTCGGCTTCCGCATTCTGGACACACTGTTTCTCAGGTGGGGAGGGGGGCATAAATTTTGGGTGTTTTTCCCACTAAATATTTCCCTCTATGATGTTCCCCCGATAACCATGTTGTGAACCAAAAGTCTACCACAAGTGTAAAACCGATTGCACACATGATTCAGCTTTCAAACCATGTAAGAATCAAATTATCCAAGGATCCAGTTACAGTTGCAGGTGGTATTTCCAACCCCCTTTTTCGTAAGGCGTAATCAGGCCTTTGTAGTCTTCGTAATCCGTAGGCAGCCTCCCACAAAATGAACGTAATTCGTAAAAGTACATTGGCCGCAAAGCGTAAAGTCGTAATCAGCTCTGAGGATTTAGCATAATTCGTAATCGGCGGCAGAAATTTTGCATAATTCGTAATCACTACCCCCACATGCAGGCCCTCTGATATCTTTATTTTTAATATTGACTCCACAGGGAGAGGAATTACAAGCGAGAAATCAAGCTCCTGAACATGCTGCTGTTTGTGAAAACAACGGTCTGGAAGACGCTGTTTGGGAAAGAGGCGGACAAGTTAGAACACGCCAACGATGACGACAAGACGTACTACATCGTCGAAAAAGATCCGCTCGTCAACAAGTTTATCTCCGTTCCAAAGGTACCTGGCTACAAAACCTGTGAACTTAGAAGAATACCACAAGTATATTAAGATTCATAGCCATACATTCTATATATATGATATATTATAATGATAATAACATGTTATTCCATTATTATGTGTGACAGTGTTGAGTTCAATGTCTCCATGTTTTTATATTTCACTCCCTACACCATGGAGGAGAGATGGTAGTGATATATGCCACATTTGCTTGCAAATGTTGCCTTTCTAGTTACTTATTCACAGTCTGTTTGTTTCAGGACAAGGGAAGTTTAAACTGTGCTGCCTTTACTGCGGGGATTGTAGAGGCAGTTCTAAACGGCTGCGGTTTCCCTGCTAAAGTCACGGCACACTGGCACAGAGGAACTACCTACATGATCAAGTTTGATGAAGCAGTCATTCTCAGAGACAAGAACATGGAGGGCCGATAGGATAGGATAAATGTAGTATATCAAGGCTCAAGCTATACTGTAGTCTACTCTATATAGTAAATATTAAAATGAGACCTGTGTTTGTTATAGAATGAATGTGAAAAGGTCAAGCTATAAATCTATTACCAAATAGCTTGGTCACTTAACTTCACTCAATTCAATGACAACTGTAAAAGATGGTCCAAAACTTTGCAATATCTACCAGTAAATGTTATGTGAATATGGCCTTTTGGACAGTATTGACTATGTTGAAATCCTGGTTATGTGAATACTAAGGTAAATAATATCTTGACATCTTTTGATGTGATCACTTATATTGAGTCGTGATAATCACATATATCGTTGTTGAATTGATATTTGGACTGGGATGGTTAAAAATTCAAAACTTGAAGACACACATGATGAAAATTCATGTATAGATTGCCATGCATTCCGTGAAATCTATATTTTTAGCTATATATGTAACATTATCACAGTGACTCTTGTTGATGTGGATGTTCATGTATGTCTACTATTGAATAAATACCACTTCTTGCTGGCAGTTCACAATGGTTGTTTGTTTGTTTGTTTATACTTAGTAACATGAGCACGTCCACAGAACGTACTGCACCTGCGCAAAACTGTAATGTATTGTGCATAGCACATCGATAGAACATCCCATTTAATTATGTCATATTCACATCCGACAAAGATTCCGTATATAGTGTTCAAATGTGTCATAAACAATAAGGTCTGCAACAGTCAAATTCTGATGCAGTTGAAAAATATCATACACGATGTGTGGCAAAAGTCAGACTTCCAGACAGTTTTGAATTATATGTTTTACTTTACATTTGTGTGTATATATACATATCATACTTATATACACACATCTATGACACTGTGAGACCTTGAATGACTGGAGCCAGCTGTCTATATGAGTCTATTTTATAAATGTCCCAAAAACGTCTAACTGTATTATGTAAGATGACTGTATTGCTAGTATATAAGATGTTGGTAAAAGAATCAATTTGTACACCTTTAATATTGAACAGTACGAGAAACATTGACATAAAAACCAGGGATACCTGAGTCATAGCAAAATATTTAAGGCAACATGAGACGTATGCATGACACGTGTTTGTGATATATTTTCAATAATGTAGACATAGAAATAACAAATAGAAACTTCATTTTAAACGTCTGCATTGTGAAGAATGAAAGGCAAGTAACTGAGCACATGTTCCCAAGCTCTTCTCATACCAACTTTACTTACGCCATTCAGCAGAAAAAGTGATGACAAGAAAAGAAGAATATAGGGAGGGACACATGTTTTCAAATTTATATGCCTTTGAGAAAAATAAGACTTTCATTATCAGGGAAACCACTTGTATAAACTGTTATTATAAGTAACAAGATACAAACATACACAAATTCTAGAGGAACATATCGTTATGATTTATTTCTTAAAAGATATATTTTGTCTTCTCAAAATGTCGGGAGGGCAGGCTCACCCCGTGAACCTTATCTGACCCTGACCCTTATTTTGTCTTGGGAAAGTCCGGAAAACAAGAACAAAGAAACTCCAACTGTTAGTCTAAGTTTGTCCCTGTGTTTGAAACAGTAGCTCTAAGAAAAGTGTTATTTCCTCCCATTTCTTTGTATATCGTCGTACTTTCCCACACAATTCAGATTAATTACGAAAACCCACATAGGAAGTGCGTACAAAGAACCCTTACCAAGAACAAAATGACGCATGTTTTTCAATGCTTACACCACGTATCTAAACTCGATACATTCTGTTTGTACATAGGAGGTTACTGTGATTGAAAAGATTTCCCGACCCCATTAATGTAAGGACCACTTAACAATCATGTTGTATGGGTCTGTTTGTACTTCCTATTAGATTCTGTGGGAGAAGTGTGGGCACTCCACCACCTGCCGTCGGCGTTTTTGTTGTAAATTGTTGTAGAAACCAAACTCTTCTCGTGAATGTGGTCAGATTTTTCTGTTCACTGGGGGGAAGGGAAACATCCGAAGTTTGCGCGCGTGTTTGGGGCCTTGTATGTTTGAGCAGGAAGCCCGGACTGTATATAAGGGTTGGCGGTACGGCAGGGAGGTACCGACACCAGGCACCGACTCCTGACGACTAGTACCGAGCGAAGAAGAAGCAGAAAAACTCCTGGCAAGATGATCCTGGCACTCGCACTCGTCTGTCTTGTACCACTCTGCTCCGGTAAGGCTTTTTTCCCCTCTTTTGTACAATTCGGTCTTACACTCAAAATACTTCTGATTTTTGTATGCCCTGATTTAGATTCGTGGAACGTACCGAAAAGCTTTCTTCGTCTTTGTCGAACACGAATTTGATCTTACATTCAAAATATGTTGTTAAACCTCGGACGTTTGTATGTTAAGCCTTCTCTACTTTAGATTTGCTTTAGAACGCGTATAAAAAGTTTTGATGGACAAATAGAGTGATTTTGAAAGTCACCTGAAATTCGGGGATTTTTCAATATTCAGAACTGGGTGAAAAATGGAAAGTACTGAGAACTTCTAAAGTACTGCATGGTGCAGCAGTCCCGGCCGATGAAATTTATCGTTGTAAGACTTTATATCATCTATGGCGTTATAAAAAGGAAGATTCATTTTGTTTCAAGCTCTAATCTACATTTATACCTTGCTTTTCCAGCTGAAACATGGGGCGCACCGGTCAACTTTGACAACAGTAAGTAACATCAGCTTGTCGATTTTGTCCTTGGTGCTGGTACGGTGTGCTGTAAGACGCCACCTAGCGTCCCATTTCAAACTGCCAAATCCCAACCATGCAACATTTATTTTTGACGTTTGTGACCAGCCTCCACCAGGCCTTTCTACGGGAATACGGGTCGTAGAATTCGGCAAAAAAAGAGAGTAAAATTGGCCAAGGGAGTCCGGCCGCGGAGAGGTAGTTTCCTTCCCTCCGGCCAGTCAAACCTACAAGGCGGTCAAACTCCCCTGGCAAATATAGCCAGCGTAGTTAGTATGGTAGAGACTAGTGACTCCTTGGTTAGTTCAGGGTTTGACTGAGTTAGTACCTGTATTACCCAGTGTGCAGACGGGAGCCCGTGTGTTTCCTGGGTTAGTCCTGGGTTAGTTCTGGGTTAGTCTGACTGAGTTGGCACGTGTTTTCCGCAGTGTGCAGACGGGAGACCGTGTGTTTCCCGGGTTAGTTCTGGGTTAGTGTGACTGAGTTGGCACGTGTTTTCCGCAGTGTGCAGACGGGAGACCGTGTGTTTCCTGGACTGCCCGTTCGGCCGGGCTTCAGACGAGCGAGGCTGTGAGATCTGTGCCTGCCGAATGCCTGACTTCAGCGACTTCGGCATGGACATGGCAGGCGAGTGTCGTAGTAGTCTAGGAGATTCCCAGAAGAGGCCTAAAAATAAGAAACGTACCCCTCCTGTCCATAGAACAGCACCTTCTGTTTTACTCTCCACCCTATTGCCATATATTATATTGTATATTTCTTATCCGTTTTGTATCAAGTTTTTACTGTGTCTTGATTTGACCGCAAATGCTGAAGTGTTATACTGGGTGTGATTCTGTAGTAGCAGTATATAGTATCACGGAAAGGAAGTTTAACAATGTTTCTTTCATTCGGAGATTTTGCATGTTAAGGCCGGGGGGTGGGGGTTGTTTAGCAATGGGTTTATATTTTTGTTGTTAGCATAATTTTTTGTTTGATAAAAACTGGTTAATTTGGAAGATTTTGTTTCCACAGGGTCCCATGCTGAATCCCATGTCCCCGAATTCGTCCCACAGCTTGTCCCCTTCTCTAACGGTCTTCCTTTCCTAGCTCCCATCCCCGAGGCCGTGCCCATGCTCCAGCCCGTGCCCCACCAGCTCGAACCCATCCCCCAACTTATCCCTGCCTCCCCCGAACTTATCCCAGCAGGCGACGCCCCCCAGCTCGTCCCTGCCCTGGAGCCCGCGCCGCAGCTGCAGCCTGCACCGCTGCTGGTGCCCGCCAGGAGGAGCATTCCCAGCCGTTTCCTCAAAACAGGTATCTTTCCAATAGCCTGGGTACTACTAGTAATCTCCAAGCAGATCCTAGGATGGCGAAAGATCTAGCATATAAGGAAAGGCCTGGGGCTGGGACCGATAAAACATCTGTTGTCCGGGCTGTGGAAATCTCAGTAATTTGTGCAACTAATGGCTACCCCAATAAAGTATCAAGCATCAAATGGTACCCAGGCAATCTTCAAGCAGATCCTAGGATGGCAAAAGACAGTATCAAAATGGCCAGGCAGTATCCATTGGTGACACCCAAGGGTATCGTATTGGAGATTTGGACCCTCTATGCCCGATGGATACTTCCTGGTCAATTTGATACTGTTTTTTTGCCACCCTAGGATCTGCTATTATATGAATGCCCGTGTAAATGTGTCTCTTGTACTTACAGGTTATTATTATCATCCGTAGATGCAACTAACTAACCATATATAGTAGGAAGGTCCTCTTTGATTAAAAATAAGAATGACCTCAGAGTGCTGAATGGTACTGACTAAATCTGTCTTATTCTTCTTTCAGGAAACAAGGCCTAAACATCTGCTGGAACCGAGTTGACGGTATGTAAGCTTCTAAATTCTAATAACATGAACTCTTTCTATGTATAATTTTCCTAGTTACAAAGATATTGTTGTTGCAGGGAAAATGCTATTCATGGTTCAAAACGAATTATTTTTGTTTCTCTGAAATACATTAAAAGAAACAACAACCTTTTGATCCGTTAAGACCTATCCGTTAAATGTACCCCAAAGTAAAGCTTGGCAAGCTAGATCAAACAAAAATAGTGATATAGGCTTGCAAAAACTAGACATGTTTAGGCTTGTAGCAGACGAATAGTACCAAGGACAGTGCTAGTAGTTACAACAAAGATTATGATTGGTCTCCATGTTGGCACGTAGCCAGCCAATCAGCACCAAGGACAGACCTAGTGGTTACAACAGTGAATACGATTGGCCTACACATTGGCTTGTAGGCAGCCAATCAGCACCAAGGACAGTCCCAGTGGTTGCACCAAAGGTTATGATTGGTCTCCGCGGTGGCCTTCATAGCCAATCAGCACCAAGGACAGTGCCAATGGTTAGAACAAGGATTTTGATTGGCTTTCATGCTGTTAGCTAACAATAATGTACATCTCAATGTGTTTTCTGTACAGATCACCCTCACCCCACCCCAACAAGAGCTGCAACGTCACCTGCAATAGGAAGATCTAGTGTGAAAAATCTGACGAACGCTGGGACAAAACTGTCCACTTAGAACGAGACAATAAACGTAAAAGCATACATGACCTGTGTCCGCCTTTCTCTTTCCTATTGTTTCTCTATAGATAGATATAGATTCTTTATAGATACTATTCCTATTTATTACATTGCGAGGGTATTGTTCTTTGGTGTGCCTGTGTAAATTATGACAAAACCCAGAGAAAGATATAATTTCACATTTATTCATTGACATGTCTGGATTATTTAATAGATAAATCTTTTATCTGTATATTCCCAGACCGAATAATACGCACACTGAGCTCACAGCAATATAACATTTCATTGTTACGTTTACTAGAGGCACCAACACAAACACTTTGTTCGTACACTTATCAACCAAGATCATATTGACGAAGTCAACATTTAACAAGATTTATCTCAACAATGTGACACTAGTTCTACCCTTGAAAGATGTGACATTTCATCGCTACTTGTTAAACGAAGTGGTTATCTCATTCTGCACACAAAACGTGACACAACGATAGTCTCAATCGGACTGACAACGCTGTCGGGTCGTGTGGCGTAGCGGCAGAGTACTCCTAAGTACTCCCAAGAGGTCCCGGGTTCGAGTCCTGACATGCCAACTATCTTGTGCCCTTAGGAAAAGCACTTTACACGACTTTCCTCACTTAATTTAGGTGAAAATGAGTATTGTCCTGTTCCGTATTTGTCCTCTTATCTGCGTTGGTGACGGCATAAAATAAGTTGATATAACTTGAGTTTGCCGTCACCATGTCCAGTCATGAAATGTTGGAATAAAAAAAAAGCTGACACTGAGAAAGCGTAAGATTAATCCAAATAGGTAGAATAATTGTCCAGGGGAGTTTATCCACCGCAGAGGTTCATTTGTACACGCTAGGGGAAATTAAATGTTACCCTTACCGCGGGCTCACTCTCTCATCCACCATCTTTTGACAAATTCTACTAAATTATGACATAAAAAGGAATGAATGAACTCGTACGAGACTGCAGCTGTCTTCATCTCCTATTGCTAACGTTTATACTTCTTTGATATTCACACATATGTTACGATGTCTTGGGTATTATCTTCATAGATAACACGTTCGATCATGATTTTGATATTTTGTCAGCACGTTGTTTCTTGGTTAATTTTAATTATATTTTTCAACCGTCTAAAGTCTATGCAGGTTTTGGCTGTATATATATACTATTTATTTTGTATCATAGATTTTCATTTTACATGTCCTATGATATATGGTCAGTTGGTCCCGTCTATTACGAGTGTGTGTGCAGTTTCATTAATTCTCACCAAAAATAAAATCTAAATCTGACATTGGGCAAGCTAGAGCCAAAATAGACAAGCCATAGGCTTGAAACAACCAATCAGATGGTTTAGTCTTGTAGGTAGCCAATCAGCACCAAGAAGACAGAGCTATTGGCAACTAGTTACAACAAAGATTTTGATTGGCCTGCACTTGTTTACTTGTTTACAAGTCACTTCCGATATGTACGTTAGAGATTGTTGGTTTTAGTTAGTAGATAACTTCACACAAAGACAATATGTTGAGGACATGTATAACGTTACCTTTCTAGTGAAATCTGTTACATGTAGCTTCACGTATCACCTGAAATTCTCGACAGGGCTAGCAACGGCCTCTGTTAAACGTCCCTCTGTAACAAGCCTGGGAGCCAGACTATAGCCAGGGCCAGGACAGCCCATCTCTTCGGTGCCAGAGCCAACATGCCCCCAAGGAAACTTCCCCTGGCCCCCCTGAGAAAAAAACCTTGAAGCTCAAGGCATTCCTGGCTACAGCCTGGCTCCCAGGCTACTCCAAACTTCTAGTGAGTCGCCAGGCCTTGACCGTGGTCGTTAGCATTGACCAACAGGCTTTTGATAGCCTCGGAGAGCAGCCCGTTCCCCATGACTTTGATCTCACATTCTAGCGACGTCTGCGTGCCCTTAGCCTCGAAGATCGCGCGCCTCTTCGCAGCGTCATCTTTACCAGACGACGAGGCAGAATTCTGCAGTTCCTTGTTGTCTTTGCTCATCATGAGACTGCTGAGGAGCGAGGTGCACCCGCAGATGTTGGCTAGATCCTTCTCGACCGGGCGGTCGCCATCTTGGATCCGCTGGTTTTTGAGCGGGATTTTGACGATGACGGTGCGGCGGCCGCTGGGGACCCTGACCACGGCGGTGTCGAGGCGCCTGCCCGCCACCCGCTGGCTCGCAAGGTTCCCGTTACTGTCGTCGGGGGCGGACGACACTTTCGACACGAACGTTTCCGTGTCCCACTTCGCCATGTCAGGCTCAGCGTCGTTCCCGCTTAGAACATGGGACGCCATCTTAATATAAACAACAACAAATAAACAAAACAAACAAACAAACATAATTCAACCGCAGTCAAATTACTCACCACTAATTTCAGCTACCTTCAAGTGATAGGATCAACCTCTGTTGGTAAAATACGAAGGAAATTTATCACTTATGACACAATATTTCATTGTTCTGTTTGTAAAATTGCACAAATATTGTCATTCTCGATTTTGACTGGATGACATTATCAAAAACATATCAAGTAAGCCCGTAATATGATCTGACAATGGCATATTTGTTAAATATACATTAGTTAAACTATGGATGTACAACTACGAAACAACATCGAAGTCACCTTCTGTATCAGCTCAAAATCGTACACGATGTCTGCCTCGGCGGTGTTTTGTGACGTCACCGTGAATCGAATGATGTACTTGCCCTTGAGAGAGGCGGGAACCATGAACAACTTCCCCGTCTTGTTCAGACGATTCAGTAACGTCTCCGTCAAGGAGTCAGGACCCTGGAATAACATCATAACAGTTGTTATACTGACTTGTTATTGGGTGTTCGTTTGTGACGTTTCAGCCGCCATGTTGTTTGGTTAAACGTACATGTATCTGTGTCATTTGCCCTGATGCTAACTGCATTTTCCTGTCCTTGGTGCTGACTGCGTTATGCCGTGTTTTCGTATCTTTGGTACTGGTTGTGTTTGTAACTGACTATTTCCCTGATACTAATGGAGTTTCCCTGTCCTTGGTGATAACTGCGTTTCCCTTGTGCTGTGTTTCATTGTCCTTGGTACTGGCTGTGTTTCACTGTATGCGTAACTGACTGTGTTTCCCTGATACTAACTGAGTTTCCCTGTCCTTGGTGCTGACTATGTTTCCCTGTGCGCGACTGTGTGTTTCCTGATGCTAACTTTGGTTCCCTGTCCTTTGTGCTGACTGCGTTTCCCTGTACCTGACTGTGTATTCCTGATGCTAACTGCATTTCCTTGTCCTTGGTGCTGACTGTGTTTCCCTGTCCTTAGTGCTGACTGTGCTTCCTTGTCCCTGGCACTGATGCATGTTTTGGCTATAGCTAAACTCGTCACAAGTCTCTCCCACGACTTTAGGCTGTGTTTCTCGGCATTGTAAGCTTCTATCCCCGCCTAGCAAACTCAACCTGGCCCGGTGATTTTTCCTGGGGGCGTGGGGAAACTTTCCTCAGGACATGTTGGCCCCGGTGCCGAAGAGCTGGCCTGTGTAGGCCCTGGAAACAGTCCGGAGTCCAGGTTAGCCCACAGTAAATCCCGCCCTAATTGAATAATACCTACAAGTCTCGCCCTGCAGTATTTCTAAACGTGAGTGGGCGTTGATTGACAGTTTGACCGGATGTTTTGGACACTGATCAATGACCTGTGATACAAATCAAAGATGGCCGCCGGTGAAGTTGAATATGGATTCACTGTAATTCTAATAGGTGTAAATACTTATAATCCCCAAGGTCACACCTTTTGGCGGTCTCATCAACACCTAGTTTCCGTACAAATACATTTGTCTCTTGGGCCCACACTTTGGGGCTAGCTGCTTTTAAAAAGATTTAGGCCAAATGCCAAGCTTTTTAATCAAACTGTCACGATTGCAGTGTCCTGTATTTTCACTAAGGAAGGGGTCATCTGTATCGTGCAATCATCGTAGGGTCGCAAACATTTTGGGCTATTCGTGCATGTTTCATGTAAAATTAAGCTGTCCAGGTTCGGAAACGGTAGTACTGGCTTTATCACAACCTGTTTGTTTATTCGATGATGATGACTGGTTTATTCATAAACAAATAAATAGACATACAGGTTTAAAAGTCGGTGGCAGCCTAAATGGCTGAATTGTAGACTCTTTTACAATTTAAAAACTTGAGAATATTGTCAATAGAGAATTCAATACACTACATATACATAGAAAATACAATATTAAAAGTACGAAAAGCCTGTTCGGCCAGTACAACAACCAGTATGTTACAGAACTTGCGTATCGTTCAGCAACTTTGTCACATAGTATATAGGGCTCTTAGTGAATCGGACAGTTCTGTGTCTGAGAGTTTGTAGCAGTTTACTCGATCTGGTAGTCCTGCCGGATATGGCCTCACGGCAAGGTGGCAACCAGTTTCTGTGGGTTGGCGATTTCAGCAACGCCTCAGCGAACTTTCTGCACAGTTCATGCCGTCGTTGGGAAAGTGTGGATAGAGAGAGTTCAGACAGCGCCGAGCTGTAGCTACTGTAGTTCTGTCTAAGAATAATTCTGCATGCTCTTCGCTGCACTCTCTCTATTGACTGACATTCTGCAACTGTAAGTCCCGGATGCCACACTTGACACGCGTATTCCAACACTGGGCGTATAAATCCGATACAAGTACAAGGTCAACATTCGCATCAATATCGCACTTCGACGAAAGTGAATTGTTTAAGCTATTCTTGGAGAAAGGAAACCAATATTACAGAGACTTAACATGTTTAAAACACCGTGCCAAAGTCATGATATACGGTCCATAGTGAAGTATCGAACATTCACTTAGATCGCCCCCAGTCCAAGGACTTGTAAAATAGCTATTCACCTTGACCTCACTGAGAAAGGTTTGTCAATAACTGTCATGTTGCACGGAGAGTTATCTATACTGGGTATATCTCTGGGTGAAAGACCTCGGTAATTGTGGAAGGGAATTTGAAATTTGAAATTCAAACGGAACGTAACGGTCAGTTACCTGAAAAGTACATCCAGTTTCTAAAAATAACACCCAGTTGCTTGAATAACTTTGTTGGTGTCTCTTCACTTGGTCTTTGGGAAGATCGCCAGAGGAGATGGTAAAAAAAGTTTTTCTTCGAGGGAACAGCAGAGGGAACTTCAACACAAATGAAGACGGGTGTTATCCCCTCTAGCGAACTATTTTGGACATGCCTGGGGAAAAGGGCCAGCAAGATTGTCAAGACCAATACTGTTCTAATGTTATAAGAACAAGAACAACTGAAAAATGGATGGTCTCCTACCCTCACAGTAATGAGGGAACCTTGTAAGACCTCTGGGGTACTGACCTTAAGTCGGAAGACGACCAGACCAAGGATCCTCTGTGCCGGGATCTCAAACCTCGTGTCCTTTCTAACCATCGTCTCAAACATCTCCGCCAGTCTGACGCCCTGGTAATAGAATAAACACAGATAGGGACTGTAGTTAGTTAGGTCCACGTAGACAAAAAATTACAAGAAGTGTGGGGTCGTGTGGCGTAGCGGTAGCGTCCTCGGCTCGGAACCAAGAGGTCCTCACCTTGTCACCGATCTTGTGCCCTTGGGAAAGGCTTTCCTCACTTCACTCAGGTGAAAATGAGTACCTAGCTTCGGTTAGGGACGTTCCTCGGATAGGACGTTACATGGAGGTCCCGTGTTTGGGAGAGCCACACCCCATGCACGTTAAAGAACCCACCACACTTATCGAAATGAAAAAGAGAAGAGACCTTACGGTGTGAGTAGTTCAAACCTTACAGTCTGGTCTCAAGTTTGACATCTTTGAAGAGTTGATAGTCACCTGTTATGTCAATCCTTCCACAAATGTGGTAAATCGTCATAAATACATAAGAGCAATACATCTTAAATGCGATCAATACTTGGCTTTTTAAATGGTCATTTGAGACGATATATGTTTTGAATTAGGGTGGTAGAAGACATTGAGAGTGCGGAGGACAAGTCGTTTCAGTCTGTGTCCAGAATAAAGCAGTTTGAAGATTGGAAGAGACACAGCCTGCCCCCATTCCTGACCTTTCATAAATAAAAAAAAGTTTTGACGTATGTCTTCTACGTTTATTGAGTTTATTGAGTTAAAGCTCTCCTTTAGCTGCCCACCTGAGGGTGACAGCTATTCTTCCAGGAGAGAGTTTCCACATAAAACATAACAGACATCAACATGTACATGTGTCATGAACATACACAATATATACAAATATACATCAATATACACAATATATACAAATATACAATCTTAATTTACTACCAATTCTATACAGTTTGTTTCCGTCTGTCTTTGATATGAGTTTTAAAACTTGAAGGTACTGACATTCTGAGATGATATGGTAGTGTATTGTACAGTTTGTATACCCCGAGAGATTCTAATAGTTAAATGTTAAGGACAACAATAGATTTTACTTTTGATGCATAAAACGTAAAGGAGTATTAAAAAGGCGACGATTGTTACAGCAATGTCATGCTTATTTTCTAAATCATTTTTAAATCAAATGCAATTTCAGGGCGGCAAAACTGGAAATCTTCTGAATAAGGCAATCTGTATGATATCGATATTGACACAGAGTGTCCCACATTAGCAAATTTAAATCAGTATTGCATACTTTATAGGCATATAAAACTACAGAAACAAGCCCCAAGATGAGTCCTTTATTTTCTGGGTGGTACCCTAAAATCAGTCCCCGGTCTTTCCAAAAACGGTTTTTTGTCAGAATTTTGGATCTTTGTGCTCCATGAATGTTGATATACATTGAAATAGCATTTTTTCAACTTAGTATGTAGGTAAGTGACTAGAATATTAACTTTGAAAAATCTGGTTTTCAATCCCTAAAAACTTCACTGGGTGCCTCTAAATCTGCGAAAGCGCCCCCTACCTTCCTGACGTGGTCCCGCAGCCCCCTGACGCCGTAGGACCGGATGACGAACCAGAGTTTGAGCGCGCGGAACCGGCGGCTGAGCGGGATCTGCCAGTGCTGGGTGTGTGCAAGAGTATGGTCACATGTGTCACGTGGTTAGTATAGTCCCATCACCGGGACGGGGGGCGATACCGACTTCCACATTTGAAACCTACACCATTTACAGAGCATCATTTTACGTCCACGTTCCATATATGTGATATAATCCTTAACTTTCAAATCATAGTTTATGATAACTCAATTAAGAATTCATTTGTTTTTAATTATTTTGATTGGGATGTCTGTATGTCAACTTACCATGTAGTCAACGGCTTGACCTAGACATAGGAAACAAATGAGATTTTCTGTGAAAAAAGTAATAATTTCAAAACGGGATCTCAAAGTCAATACTGCATTGTGAAGCTACAGACCAATTTTAACTTAATTAAATGTAACTAAATTAAATTCCTCGGTCTTTCGAAATCATTGCACAGTACAATTCAAAAATGGAGCTATCGCTCGACCTGAGTCAAAGAACATTGCAATAACACAAATGTCTCTATAGGCGAAGCATTATACATGGCAATATATACATTACCTGAGTTTTCGTGTCGCAGATATAGCGGGTTGACGATAAAGGCTTGCTGTAGAGCCACGTTATCTTTCACCCTGTAACAGTTATAAAACAGTAAAATATGTCAATCCTGCAGTATGTTTTTTCCATGATACTTTGCACAGTAGTATTGCACACAGACAAACAAACACACTCGCACGTTTCCATCTCTATCTTTATTTACTATTGAGTGAATTGTTAATTTTTAGCAGGCGATAGTTTGTACTTTGGAGCCAAACAAGAGGCGGCAAGTACCGGTATGGTCGATGGGCGATACGGGTGCTTGGAAAGAGTGTTTATTCAACCTTTTTGCCTTGTGAGGTCAACTAACACTTTGGTGACAGTTTGGTGCACTCGTGACGCTCGTACGCCCAATTTTTACTTCGTAAAGTTTTAGACTCTTAGAAGCCATGTTTCTCATTACCTTGCTGGTGATTTTAGCCGTACGACTGACCAAAGGGACTGGTTTGGAGACTAAAGATGGCGGTACAATCGTCCAGACACAGTACGGGGCCGTGCAAGGGATATCTACAGAAGAAGGCGACATTTTCCTGGGTCTTCCGTTCGCTGAGCCACCGGTAGGCGGTCTACGGTGGAGACCACCGCAGCGTTTCAGCTCCCCGTGGGCTCCTGGCGTGCGGGACGGTTCTGTACCCGGCCCCGCCTGCCCGCAACACGGATGCCAACCCGGAGACCCCGACCCCCAACACTTATGCCCTCGAGACGGAAAACAGAGCGAGAACTGTCTATATCTCAACATCTTCGTACCACACGTTTCACACCACTCAGAAAATCTTCCCGTCTTGTTCTTCATACACGGCGGGAGTTATCGAGCAAGTTCCGGGTCGGCTTTGGGTTACGACGGGCGATATCTCGCACAGAAGACCAACACCGTTGTCGTTACGACCAACTACCGCCTGGGGGCGCTAGGCTTTCTTGTAGCAGGGCAGGGTAAGGACGCTGCGACGGGAAACTACGGTATACTAGACCAAATAGAAGCCTTGAAATGGGTTCAAGCAAACATCGGTGACTTCCGAGGGGACAAAAACCGTGTGACTCTTCTAGGGCAAAGCGCCGGATCAGACTCCATAGGGATCCACCTTACTTCAAACATATCTGCCGGGTTGTTCCACAAGGCCATTATGTCAAGCCTACCCTTCACCGTTCCACACAAGTCTAAGGTTGAAGCACTTCTCCTGGGTGACTACCTAGCAGAGCAGTTGAACTGTTCTCACGGTGACATGAGGTGCCTCCGCTCCAAGAGTGTAGAAGACGTGGTGGTAGCTCAGGTCAAGGCAGACAGTTACGTTACCAATCCCTTCAAACCTTTGGAGATTTTCGAGAACTGGTCACCTTCCATCGACGGTGTCGTCTTGTCCGCACAAACAGTGGACAGCTTTTCAAACGGTCTCTTTCAGCGCAAACCGTTCATTATAGGTACGACGAGCGAAGAAGGCGTTTATTTCGCTTATGAAATGTTCACGAAGACATTATCAAGGCTCAAGTTTGAGGAAACAATCTTAGGTTTTATGCATGAGAAGGCAGTAGCGGTGTACAAGGAGTACAAGCCCCCGCCATCTTCGGACTACAGGCCTTACCTAGCAGTGATTGTTACTGACTTGGTGTTTACGTGTCCGAGTCGTCACGTCATCCGAAGCGCTGTACAAGCTGGTGACACAAACGTCTGGCTTTACGTGTTCGATCACGTCTGGTCTATGAAGAACTCCTGGGATAATCATCCGTACTGTAACGGCCACGTGTGCCACGGAGAGGACCTTCCTTTTCTCTTCCAGTCCGCGCCACTCCTAAACATCAGCCTGACGTATGAAGAACAGATCATGGCGGACAGCATGGCGCTTCACTACGGGAACTTCGCCCACACAGGAGACCCCAACAAGCCCGCTTCTCACTCGCGTTTCACAGACGTGAAGATGTCAGGAGGTTTACACTGGCCTAGGTACAGTCAGCACGGGAACTACACTGCTCTTAACATCACTACACCACAGAACATGATGATACAGGACTATCGGAAAGAGAAGTGTGACTTTTGGGACAAAATGAAGAAGTACACCGGACAGAAATGTAACTAGAAAGGTAACATTTGGAAAGGAAATTAATAATGCTTGCCTCCATATGGTTTAGCCTAACAAACTACAGCTCTACAACCACAACTCTTTATCTTACTCAAACAAATTCATGAATATGGTGGTGACCAGCCCTTCCAACTTGCTACATAATGTAACCCAACACCACATAGTGTCTGCTACAGCACCAGTTACCATGATGACAGCCGTCTGGTCCAGGTCATTGACCTTATTTGTTTCAAGAAGACGTAGAAACAGAGCGAAAATAATTAGTTTCCTTCTGTGAAAGTTAAAATAATCAAAAATGACAACTTACTGAGCAGGATGTGATTGATATTTTCAATATATTTTTCACTTTTCAGCCTTTGACATAACCCGAACGTGGCCCATGGGTACCATCCATACACTTAACCAGTTGCGGGCCAAACGCCTTGTAGCAGTTTCATTTCACCTATAAGCTGACTTGATCTCATAGATCCTGTGGGGATAGCCTAACGAGATTCGGATTTGGTTGCTGTCTGATTGATTGATCCGATCAACATGGCGGGTCTAATTCCACGACACCTTGTGCTTCGGTTCAGAACAAGACACTCCGTATCATTAGTTGAATTGCATCTGGCCTACATAGAAGCAAATCACTGAGCGGCTAAAATTGGATTTCTGTGAATCTTGATTTAATAATTGGAATATAATGCACGGTGTTAGAGTAGGACTGGCGAATGACACCAAGGATTTTTTTTCAAAATCGTTCGTTATCTGTATTCTAGGAATTCATTGAGTTCTCTGCCAAGTTTTTGGTGACTTGGCCCTTGCCCAGCGGTCACAGCCTATAGCACAACGCCACGTCATCACATGAAGAATTAATTCAAAAGAGAGAAACAAGAAGTTAAGATTCTAGTCATGAATCTGCTAAATATTTTGTGTCAATTTAGTGGCGGGCCGAGTTGACCAGGGCAGTGGGCCAAGTTGACTAGATTTGCGATGGACCGAGTTGGTAATGGTCCAAGTCGCCCTGATTCCTAACTGCTTGGCTGTAGGTTACAAATTTGAAACGTTATAATTTCGAATTCCTTTTGAAAATCGCCCTTCCGGTTATTTCCAGTCATTGCCATAGCTGCGAATCGATACTTGAAGTGCCTTGGTCGGTAGTTTGAATTTGATGACGTTGGAAATGTTCAAAATCGATGGACATTTGCCTCTTATGACTTTCAACAGGTGCCAGATCGGTGAATTTCATTCATGAATACGTACATCTGCCCACAAAGCTTTAAATTTAGGTGTTTTAATCATAATAATCTTACACTTTTACACACATACACACACACAAACACACACAAAGTCTCACACACACACACACACAGGCACACACATATATACACACATATATATGAGCATACCTGACGTTGGTGCTGAACGCCAACCACACACAGATAAACATGCCTGTTCTTGGTGCTGAACACCATCCACGTGCACACACAGGTAAACATGCCTGTCCTTGGTGCTGAATGCCAACCACACACAGGTAAACATGCCTGTCCTTGGTGCTGAACACCACCCACACACAAGTGAACATGCCTGTCCTTGGTGCTGAACACCATCCACACATATATGAACATGACTGTCCTTGGTTCTGAACACTATCCACACACAAGTGAACATGCCTGTCCTTGGTACTGAACACCATCCACACACGGATAAACATGCCTGTCCTTGGTGCTGAACACTATCCACACACAGGTGAACATGCCTGTCCTTGGTACTGAACACCATCCACACACGGATAAACATGCCTGTCCTTGGTGTGAACACTATCCACACACAGGTAAACATACCTGTCCTTGGTGCTGAACACTATCCACACACATGTGAACATGCCTGTCCTTGGTACTGAACACTATCCACACACATATAAACATGCCTGTCCTTGGTGCTGAACACTATCCACACACATGTGAACATTCCTGTCCTTGGTGCTGAACACCATCCAGACACAGGCAAACATGCCTGTCCTTGGTGCTGAACACCATCCATACACAGGTAAACATGCCTGTCCTTGGTGCTGAACACTATCCATACACAGGTAAACATGCCTGTCCTTGGTGCTGAACACTATCCACACACAGATGAACATGCCTGTCCTTGGTGCTGAACACTATCCACACATATATGAACATGCCTGTCCTTGGTACTGAATACTATCCACACACAGGAGAACATGCCTGAATACTATGCACACAGGTTAACATGCCTGTCCTTGGTGCTGAACACCATCCATACACAGGTAAACATGCCTGTCCTTGGTGCTGAACACTATCCACACACAGGTAAACATGCCTGTCCTTGGTACTGAATACTATCCACACACAGGAGAACATGCCTGTCCTTGGTGCTGAACACCATCCATACACAGGTAAACATGCTTGTCCTTGGTACTGAACATTATCCACACACGGGAAAACATGCCTGTCCTTGGGCCTGAAACCACTATGGTGAAAATGCCTGTCCTTGGTGCTGAACTCTATCTACAAACAAACAAACACACATACATACACACACACACACACACACACACACACACACACACACACACACACACACACACACACATAAATACATGTCTACATGCATATATACACATACAGAGAGAGAGAGAGAGAGAAACACACAGAGCCCCCTCTCATAGAACTGTATAAAGGTAAAATGTTTTATTCCTCACCACATGGCGGTACAGTCGAAGTGGACCATCATCCATTTACTGGGGTTGAAGGCAAAAGAATGCGCGAGTTCGATGCCCTTCATCAGATATCGGTACTCCGGACAGATGAACGCCGTGCCCGCATAGGCCGCGTCAATGTGCAGCCAAATATTCTCACTGTCGCCTAGGAAACAAGAAATGGAAGATCACGTATGTATTTTGTAAATTTCTTTGATTGGCCTAGGTTTATGTTAGTGTCCCCGCGTATTTAGCATACGGAAATACTTGTGACCTTGGAACACAAGAAACAGACACAACAAAAAATTGTACATGTAGGTAAGAATGCACATCCTAAGCAGAACAGGTGTACATAGAGGTAAGAATACAAACCCTAACCAAAACAACTGTACATGGAGGTAAGAATGCAAATCCTAACGTTTCTAGTTTCCAATTTCAACACAGTATATTTCAAGTATTATAGAGGCTGTATGGAACCTGTGAAACGTAACGTAAAGTCTGTATACTCACAGATAGGACCGATCTCCTCCAAACTGTCAAACGTACATGCTCCTGTGGAGCCCAGTGTCGCACACACCTAGAAAAATAATTCATAAAGAAATTGTGAAAAACTACAAACTAAGCATTTTAAATGCTGGCATATGCTCGATGTATAGACGTCCTGGTAAAACATACCTGATTTTTTTACTGCAAACCTTTTAATACAAATTTAGGTGAGGGTGAGGGTGAGGGAGAGAGAGAGAGAGAGAGAGAGAGAGAGAGAGAGAGAGAGAGAGAGAGAGAGAGAGAGAGAGAGAGATGCATACATACAGAGAGAAGAGGGGGGATGGAAGCTCCTTACAAAGAAGGGGATGAGCCCCTCCTGTCTGTCCTGGTCTAAAGCCTTCTGCAGGTCAGCTCCCCTCATCCGGCCCTTCTCGTCCGTGTCCAGCTGACGCAGCTTGACCAGTGCGACCACACAGTTCTTCTGTACCTGGGAATGGGCCTGCAACAGGGACAACAAAAAAAATCAACGATTTCAAACCTCCTTGTATCTAGCTTCTAGAATTGTTAGAATTTCTTGTTCTGGTCAGTACTATCGTG